GATTATGCTAAGTGAAATAAGTCAAGCAGAGAAAGTCAATTATCGTATGTTTTCACTTATTTGTGGAACATAAGGAATAGCATGGAGGACATTAGGAGAAGGAAGGGAAAAATGGGGGTGGGATTTGGAGGGAGAGATGAACGATGAGAGACTATGGACTCTGAGAAACAAACAGGGTTTTAGAGGGGAGGGGGGAGCGGGGTTTGGTTAGCCCAGTGATGGGTATTAAGGAGGGCACGTACTGCATGGAGTACTGGGTGTTATACGAAAACAATGGATCGTGGATCACCACATCAAAAACCAATGATGTATGGTGACTAACATAATAAAATTAAAACAACAACAAAAAAAATTAGAGTTAAACATTAATAAAGGTAAAAAAACCAATAATTCCTTCTACTTTAATTCTTAAAATAATCCTCAGAGGTTAGATTCTTAGTCTAAAATCAACACGGAATTAAATGGAATGGAGAAAGGCATAATATTTAATAATTAAGTTTAAAAAATTAACCAAAGTATATAGGTTTGTAGAGATATCACTTGACCAAAGCATATGTAAGGAAAATACAGAGATTTTAGTTAACCACAAACTGTCTTAATGAACAGTATGGTATATCTGCTGCAATGACAAACATTCATAGACTACATTTAAAAAGTATAGTTTTTAAGTTACAGGAAATAATCCTTTTATATTCCATCCTTACAAATATCTGTAATATTGTGTTCCATCTAGCCACTACATTTGATGAGGAGTACTGGCAAATTGGAGGATGATATGGTATCCAGAAGATATGGTATTCCATATCCGAAATAATGAACATGTCTTCCAAAGGGAAAAATCTTTTTTTGCCTCATTCTTTGCCTTAGTCAGTTTGGCCTGCTGTAACAGAATACCGTAGAGTGGGTGGCTTAAACAATAGCCTTTTATTTCTGACATTTCTGGATGCTGGGAATTCTGAGATAGGGTACTATCATGGTTTTGTTTTGCTGAGATCCCTCTTTCTGGCTTGTAGATCGTGATCTTCTTGCTTGTCCTTTCATAGAGGGGAGAGAGATCGTCTCTCCCCGTCTTTACTTGCAAGGATACCAATCCCATTTGAGAGGACTCCACCTTTTTGACTTAATTACCTCCCTAAGATTCCATCTCCAAATACCATCATATTGGGGATTAGGACTTCCATATACAGATTTTCAGGGCACAGAGACATTTAGTTCACTGCATTCTCCATTGTAGTCCCTCTTTTAGGCTAGTGCTTGGCATGTGATAAGTAATTGATAGAAAGTAAAAGGAGAGAGAACAAACATTTATTTCACTTACTTAATTCATGAACTTGAGTTTTGTTTTTTTTTTTTTACCAATAATATATTAGTTTTTCCTATAGTTTTATTCTGTGAAATTGTCTTTAGAAATGATAGTATCAGGGCACCTGGGTGGCTCAGTTGGTTAAGCGGCTGCTTTCAGCTCAGGTCATGATCCTGGAGTCCCGGGATCAAGCCCCGCGTCGGGCTCCCTGCTCAGCAGGGAGTCTGCTTCTCCCTCTGACCCTCCTCCCTCTCATGCTCTCTGTCTCTCATTCTCTCTCTCTCAAATAAATAAAT